GGGGGGGAGGAGGTGAGTGCCATACAGGAGGAACATGTGTAGGAATACATACAATTCCCTCAATATTCAAACCTCTTGCAGTCTGTTGACATGAGCACAACCACAGCCTAAGACTCATGGAGGAATGGCAAAGTCCTACCCACTCCCTGGGGTGAGACCCAGGCAGGAACAGCAAAGCCTTCTTCTGGTCCACGTGCACAGAAAACGTCCACCGTGGCTTCCTCCCTGAGATACTTAAGGTCTGTAATCACTCTTACAGCAACTACTTCTGCTGAGATTAGCTAAACTTGCCTCCTTGACCTACCCTGCCCGCTTGTAGAGCTGTGTGTAATAACCCCACTGCCCCATTCCACTGGATATAACGAACATGCTGAACTTCCAGGGTGCTGCAGCTTCTCCATCAAAAAGCCCAGTCCACCTGACTTTCAGCTATTTCTCCATTTCTCTCATTTCTCTGATACCGCCTCCCCCCCCCCCCCCCCCCCCCCCCCGTCAGTTCTGTCCCTAGAACAATTGCGAGGGCTCAGCAGCTATCTCCTGAGGAGGAAGCTGGGCAGCACCACGTGTGCACTGTGGACCCACTTCCACTGGTCAAGGCCTAGCCCAGGCTCCTTGCTACATGCGGGGCCTGGTGCCTCATCTGTGCACCTGGTGTCTTTCAGACTTTCCTATGTTTATGTCTATGTTTTTGGAACGGTTCAAGGCAACACCCAGAGGTGAGATGTCCAGCCAATTCCAAGACTTACAGGTGGACCAGTGAGGCTCAGAGTACTCTGGGGCTGGCTGACATCCTGCTGGTCCTTTCACATCGCACCACAGAGGTTGGTAAATGCCGCAATCTGAAGCTTTTCTGGAGAAGGCTGGCTGCTGAACATTTGGTAACATCTACTCTCAGCAGGTTCCATTCCTCCCTCCCCGCCCCCAGCTCAGGGTAGAAAAGGTCTCAAAAACCTACATCAGACATGCGTCACCTGCCAAGCAGCTCTTTCTGCCCACTTACTGCATCCAACAAGTGCTTCTGAGCATCTGGGGTGCCATCTGTCTGCACTGAGGCTCTCCAGGCATCATCCTGGGCACCCACAGCCTCAGGGAGACGACCAGTGGACAAGCAGCCCCTCCAACCTGTGCCAAGAGCCATGAAGCTATGTCCTCCCTCCCCAGTAGACCAGAGGCTACCTAGGCACAAGCCCATGCTGTCTACCCACCAGGACGTCAGTTCCTACCTCCACACCTCTTCTCACTGGGACCATGAAACAGTCCTGCCCTATACAAAGGAGATGATCCTGTTAGCATATCAGATCAATCACTTGTAGATTCAAAACCCTGCTCTTGATTCCACACTAACCAGCAGTGCCTGAGGTGACAGGACCCTGGGATGTGTAGCTGCTGTAGCCATGTTAGCCTTTACTATCCCCTCAGGACCTGGGGCTCATGTCCTCTCAAGGCCTTCTTGGAACTTACTGAAATCTAAACAGCATGGGGCTGCAGGGCAGATGTTGAGGTAGCCACCCAGGGTTGTTACTTCATCCTTGCTACCTGCCAGCCTCACAATGTGGCCTTTCATCTCCCATGGGGCTGTGAGCCTGAAGTTAAGCACTTGGGGCTCAGGGAGCACACGCTGGCGACGACCAGTGTAGGAGCAGAAGCTGACTTTCATAGTGTATGAGATTCCCAGGAAGTAAGGCTGGTCCTGCTACTGTGTGGGTCCCGAGAGCTGGGACGGGAGACTGACTCTGACCTGGGGGACCCATGACATCGAAAGGGGCCTGAGGCTGCAGGCTAAGGTACAGGAAGGCCTCGTCTGAGAAAGGTAGATGGTCATAACCTTTTCCATACCAATACTGGGAACCACCTCCTGAAACATCCTAATGCCTGGGATAGAGAGAAGGGAGACAGCAGGGCAGGAGGTGGGGAGGGTGGGGAAGCCAAGCTGCCTAGCTCCCAGGGCCACCAGAGAGAAGGGCTGAGAGGTGGGATCCCAACCAGTGGGCGCCTAAGCTCCCTGGCTGTGTGAGTTTGTATGCAATTGGCCCCCATAAGCTCATAGGGAGTGGTACTATTTATCAGAAGGGGTGGCTTTGCTGGAGTGGGTATGGCCTTGTTTGGAGGAAGTGTGTCACTGTGGGGTGGAGCTTTGGGGTCTCTTTTGTTCAAGCTTCCCTCAGGGTGACACTGAGACCATGTCCTGTTGCCTTCGAGCCAACATGTAGCAATTCCTTCGCCAATGCCATGTCTGCCTGCACGCCACCACGCTCCCTGCCATGATGAGAAATGGACTGAATCTCTGAAACTTGAAGTGAGCCACCCCAATTAAATGTTTTGCTTATAAGAGTCGCTGTGGTTATGGTGTCTCTTCACAGCAACAGAGACCCGAAGACACTGGCACATTACCTATCATCCCTCTGGACTGAGTCAGATGTCCACATACCTCCCTTCAAAGCACATTCAATCTGGCATGTCTGGGTAGCGGGGGCCACTGTAAGCCCGGCCTGACCTTTACCCATCAATGCCTAGCAACCCTCAGCCAACAAAACAGCAGTGCTGTGTGAACCAGACACTGTCACACAGGAGATGCTACGTCAGTGTAAGAACTGTGAAAGAAGGAAAGCCAATGGACTTCCTTGAAAACCATCTCCTACGGGAGAAGCAGCTTTCTGACCTACAGTGGGTCCAAGCTCCTTATCCGGGTGAAACTTAGGAGGCAAGTGAGGCTTCCAGAAAGTAAAACTGAGACATCATGAGGGCCTGCTGCAGGCAGGCAGAGACACCAGAGTACACACATATGCAGGCTCCCATCACTACAAGGAGCACGGGCTGCAGTGCAACCCTAGCCCAGCCGCTAAGGTACCTCCAGGTGATAGGGAGTCATGGCAACCAGAAATGCCACCCGGCAGGCTATGTCTGGGGCCCTCTATCTCACTGATGGACATACAGCTGCAATGCTCACAAACCTACCAATCGGAGGCACCCCACCCTGCCTTGCTTTTTGTTCTGGCTCAAGACCACCAGAGTCTCACTCTACAACTCAGACTGGTCTGGAACTACGTAGCTCAGGCTGGCTGAGCCTATGAGGTATCTCTCGTTGGGTCACATGTTTCAACTGCCAACTTTTCAGATTTCAGAAGGCCAAACCAGTGGACAACACCTTATGGGGTGGGGTAGGGTGTCTCTCCTATGCAGATCTCCATTCTCAGACTTAGGAGAATACTCCAATCCAGCATCACCTTCTTCAGAGCAGCAAGCGCCAATGGCCAAGGTCCTGATGCTAAGAGCTTTTGAATGAAGACAGTGATGCCACAGCAGGAAAGCTGCGGTACCCAGGGCTGACTTCTCTACAGAGTCTTGGATCCCCTCACTTGGGTCTCCAGGACAACACAGGCTCCATTCTGTAATTCAAGAGCCAAGTTTGGGGTAAGGTATGACACTGAGGATTGAAGCACATGGGATTCAGCCTGTGCCTTGGACTGGTTTGCTGGAAAGCCTTATTGGAAAGGGAATAGAGGCCAATGACTTAACCTTGACTTAAGATTCAATTACCTTCAGGAAGCAGTGCTAATTCTTTGGGAGTGATGGTGCTGTGGTTGTAAATTTAAAAAATCTCCTTATCTTTTAGGGGTTTGCACTGTACCTTCCATGAATGAAAGTGTCTGGAGCATGACGGCGTAATGGGAGAAGCAGAAGACAAATGGGAGTGTGGACAAACCAGACAGCTTAGGACTGTCAAGAGACAGGGCACTGGGGTTGGGGTTGGGGATTTAGCTCAGTGGTAGAGCGCTTGCCTAGCAAGCACAAGGCCCTGGGTTCGATCCTCAGCTCAAAAAAAAGGTCTTTAGGGCTGGAGAGATGGCTCAGAGGTTAAGAGCATTGACTGCTCTTCCAGAGGTCCTGAGTTCAATTCCCAGCAACCACATGGTGGCTCACAACCATCTGTAATGAGATCTGGCGCCCTCTTCTGGCCTGCAGACATACGTGCAGGCAGAACACTGTATACATAATAAATAAATAAATCTTGAGAGAGAGAGAGAGAGAGAGAGAGAGAGAGAGAGAGAGAGAGAGAGAGCGCGAGAGAGAGCGCCCTCCATCTCTACTCTGGCCCCAAGCTACAAATCTGGACCATAAGCAAAAGAAGACGCACCCTCCTCCTTGGCCCCCAGCAACCAACAGTGAGACCTGGTGACGACATCCTTCAAGAAGCTGAGGCAGGGGCCAGGCATCAGGTAGGATGGCTAGAATGGAACTGAAGTAGAATGCCAAAAAGACCTCAGGGCTCCACACATTTCTAACCCACAAAACCTGCCCTCAACTTCACCTGCCGCCAGGAGAGGCATAGGAGGCCCCAGCTGCCTTGGGGTTGCTCTTTGCTTGTGGTGCAGATGGTCCTGCACATCTGGAACCTGTGGAGCTGGAATCCAACTTTCTAGGTACCACTTCAAAGGGGGGCACACGTGGATGGCAGGACCTCACACAGTAGAGGAGCTGGTGGACCTTGGCATTGACCACACAGCTCCACTGACAGCCAATGAATGCCAGACAACTCTTCACTGCAGATTACCCCCAGGGGGCCACCCTTCTGTCTGCTGCCTGTCCAGCCAGTTGCTGATCCTGATGAGTAAGTCAGAACACAGCAGCTTCAAGCCTTCTAAGGACTGGTCACAGGCGCGCTTCCACACAGTATCACTAATACTCACAGCAACCACTTCAGTCAAGCTTGACAGAGCCTGTATCTCATGGCAAAACTGAGGCTTAGGCCCTCTCTAAGGTCCTCGCCTCCCCAGGCTTCCCACTCAGCAGAGCCTGACTTCTCTAAAGAGCCCTGGAATCCCCTCACTTGGGCCCCCAGGAAAACACAGGACTCCCACAATGGGCAATACCTCAGGACAAGTGTGGGTGAAAGTCCGTCTGACGAGAAAATCATCCTCAAGAGGATGTGAAACCACCTAGTGTGGAAACTCAGACAAACCACAAAGGCCCACAAACACCAGAGGAAGCCTGGAACAAGGCTCTAATGAGACTCTGAACGCTGCAGAGGGGTCACCCAGAGAGGGTGGGACTAACTCAAATCCTGTACTGTTGACAGCCCCCCTCACCACAACAAGGAAAGGCAAGAAAGGCCTACAGAGCCCCAACTCCCCACTGACTCCCCTCACCTTCCTGCCCGCCTGCCAAACCCATTCAGGACAGAAGGAAGGAAGGCCTTAATCCTGCAGGTTTTCCTGCCTCACTGTATGGCCTTAGGCAGGCCACCTCCCCCTTCCCCAGATCCAAGGATGAAAGCCCTGTAAGTCCAAAGGACAAATCAGCAAAGGTGAGGGAAGAGGGCTCAGAGGCCCTGGAGAGACATGGGGGGGGGCGCCCTGCAATGTTATTACCACGGAAAACACACAGTAAGCTCACAGCCTCCTCCCGTCAACTCACAAGCTGTGCGGCTCAGGTCCCCGGCATCCGCCCCCCCTGCCCCCCACTAGGCCACTACTAGACAGCAAGGACCTGAGGGCCAGCACCCCTGCAGCCTCGTGTTCAGGCTCAGCAAAGGTCAGCTCCAAGGTACTGACCCAAGCCCACAGCACCTTCCCCCATGTCAGACCAGGCATGAGATAGTGGCCAGGCTTTGGGAGCATATCTAGCCTGGGAAGCTTTTCTTGGGACCCTGGGAAAAAGAAGCCTCTACAATGAGCTTCAAGGCAAGCTGAGAGGGCTATCTATCGGGGAAGGCAGGCCTGGCCATGTGTGGGGGAGTCGGGAGGGGCAGAGCCACCCCAGTTCCCAGGGACTCCAGAAGGTCTGAGCTGCAGAAAGGGAGGGGCCATCCTAAGGGGCTCCCAGCTGGGGACATCTGAGATCTGCAAAAGATGTCCCAGAGAGGAGGCAGCACAGGCATAGATGCTGGAGGGGCAGAGGTGGTGCCATGGGTGGTCAGAGTAGGAAGGAAGTCAGGCTGGGTATGCCCAGATCTCAACAGAGGACTCAAGAACAAAAAGTGTAGGGCCTTGCCGGGCGGTGGTGGCGCACGCCTTTAATCCCAGCACTCGGGAGGCAGAGCCAGGCGGATCTCTGTGAGTTCGAGGCCAGCCTGGACT